AGTCCCACATACAGCAACTAGAAGGATGTGCAGCTGTGACATACAACTATCTACTGGGGCTTTGGGGGGAAAAAATAAAATAAATAAAATCTTTAAAAAACAAAAAAAAAACAAAAAAAAAAACAATTTGTATTGTGATTCTGATAAGCAAGATTTTGATTTTAATCTGGCATCCATTTGTTGAGCACTTTGAGCTAACCCCTATGCTAAGTGCTTATTACTTTATTTCCCATTTATTCATTTGACAAATACTTTTTGAGTCTCTACCATGTGCCAGGCACTAGTCTAAGTGCTAGGGACTCAACAGTGAACATCTCACAACAAAAAATAATGTATTTATTTATTAAGATCATAAAGGTTAAATATTAAAACAAGTTAGAATAGTAAAACAAGGAACATGTATTACTTTTCACCTGTTTCCCACTTAATACTAGAGACATTATAGTTGTATTAAAGGCATGATCATTTGAATGTCCAGGGACCTAAATTCGGACTTGTTTTTTCCTTGTTCCTTTAATCTGGTTCATTGTGTCTCAGATTTTAGTTTGCATGAAAATTACCGCTCAAGATTGCATGTACTCCACAGTCCTGTACTGAACTCTGTGGGCTATTTAAGGAATTTTCAAGGGTTATTTTGACTACTGAATTTTCTCCTTGTATGCTGGCTACATAGCTGATCCTTGGGTAGCTCTACTGTATGCATGTTCTTCTGAAGTTTGTGGGTTTTTTTTTTTAATCAAAAATACGTTAGAGGTTTTTCCATATCAGTATATAAAGATATTCCATAGGATGGCTGTGCTATAATTTAAACTATTTCTAATTTTTTTCTTTTATAACCAGTACTGCTGTGAACATTCTTGTATGTGCCTGTTGATATATCTTGGTATACTTTAATGGGTATATCTAAAGAGTTGCTAGAGGTGGTTGCTGGCCAAAAAGAATGTGCTTTAAAAATTTTTGATAGTGCCAAATTACCCTCCACCTCTGGTGTTAGACCCCCTCCAGTAGTAGGGAGAGAGTGCCTGTTTTTGCCAGTCTGATAGTTGAAATCTTGTTTTGATTTGTATTTTTTTAAACATGAGCAGGGCTGAGCATCTGTATTTATTTGTGTTCCGTTTGTATTTGTAGTTTATTTCCTGTAAACTGCCTGTTCATATCCTTTGCACGTTTTTTGGATGGATTGCTCATCGTTTTCCTTTTTTGTGTGTGTGAGGAAGATCAGCCCTGAGCTAACATCTGCCAATCCTCCTCTTTTTGCTGAGGAAGAATGGCCCTGGACTAACATCCGTGCCCATCTTCCTCTACTTTACATGGGACGCTGCCACAGCATGGGTTGACAAGTGGTACGTCGGGGCGTGCCTGGGATCCGAACCAGCGAACCCCGGGCCGCCGCAGCAGAGCGCGCGCATTTAACCGCTTGCGCCACCAGGCCAGCCCCTGCTCATTGTTTTCTTATGGGATCTTCGTAAATTAATTAATTATACACAGTGTACACCTTTTTTCCCCAGTTTGTCATTTTTCTTTTTACTTCGTTTATGATATATATGTTTTTCCTTGCTAGTGTTTGAATTTTTGTGGTGCAGATTTATTGGTTTTCCTTTACTGCTTCTGAGACCATAGTCTCTGAGACATGAGTAGTGCCAATTTTGAGTCAGGACATATTTTATCCTTTCTCAACTCTAGTTCTCTTCTGCAGTGACAAGAATTTAATCAGGGCTGCAGAAGGGACCAGTGGCCCCTGTGAGTTTTCATAGACTGTACCAGTTTATCTGCTGAACCACTTTTACTCCTTCTCTTCATCCTCCTACTCCTATGATGATGTTATCAGATTGAAATTAAGTAAAAACAAATTCCTCCCTAATACACAGGATGGTGAATATCTCTTTAAAAATTTGTTGATGATGAGAGACTGAGGTGGGACTAATACTTTTTAACCTTTGCTCCTAATTTACCAGAATTGGCTTTAAAAGGCTTTAATGTAGACCATTTAGGTATTATTTAAAATGGGGGGTGGGAGAGGGAAGGTCATGTAGAATAGTATGAAACATTTAATTTTGTTAAAAGGGATAGTTCATTTTGTTAAAAGAATAGTTTTTAAATTTACCATTTGAGATCTGCATTTTCAAGTTATGACTAAATTTAAAAATTAGTATTCATTAATATCACTCACAAGAATAAGTATTCCTCTGCCGTTTACCAGCTGTGTAACTTAGGGTCATTTATTTAACTTTTTTAAGCTCATTTCTCCATTTGTAAATTAGAGAATTATAAAATCCCCAAAGGATTCTTTTTCTAATTAACTGAGAATAAATATGTGAACCTAGCACAGTGCCTTTCCTCGTTGCAATTGGAGTATCAGTTTTCTTGTCTGTAAGATGAGCAAGTTGGATCTGAAAATTACTCTCCAGTGCTTATGTTGTGAACCTGCGGTTTTAAATGTAAATGATTAATTTTAGTTGGAAAAATACTTTTGATAATGACATATTTTTGCTCTTATTCGTTTCTTATTGAAGGATTCTTATAAAGAGAATTTTTGATAGATTTTGAAGGACTTTACATATTATTTATTCTTCTGAATAAATTGTAGTGGGTAGACTATCTAATTTGAGGATAAAAAAATGAAACTTGAATTATCCATATTTGAAGAAAACATGAAACATATGAAATATTAGGATGGAATATTCAAGGAAGAGAATCTAGACTGCTTAATATATCCATATTATAATGACTAACATTTTAAAATACGTGAAGGATGATAACCAGTTTTTCCCTTATCCTCCTTGAGGCTTAAATTCCAAGAATTTTTAGTTTAGAAAAAGAAATCATGGGGCCGGCCCTGTGGCATAGTGGTTAAGTGCGTGTACTCGCTGCTGGCGGCCCGGGTTTGGATCCCAGGTGCGCACTGATGCACCGCTTGTCAGGCCATGCTGTGGCAGTGTCCCATATAAAAAGTAGAGGAAGATGGGCACAGGTGTTAGCCCAGGGCCAGTCTTCCTCAGCAAAAAGAGGAGAGTTGGCATGGATGTTAGCTCAGAGCTGATCTTCCTCACAAAAAAAAAAAAAAAAAGAAATCACCAGCACTTTTTTTTTTTTAAAGGTAATCTTCTTTTTTATTTATTTATTTTTTCCCCCAAAGCCCCAGTAGATAGCTGTACGTCATAGTTGCACATCCTTCTAGTTGCTGTATGTGGGACGCGGCCTCAGCATGGCCAGAGAAGCGGTGCGTTGGTGCGCACCCGGGATCCGAACCCGGGCCGCCAGCAGCGGAGCGTGCACACTTAACCGCTAAGCCATGGGGCCGGCCCCCACCAGCACTCTTCTAAAGGTAGTATCTGTAAATGTGATTCTTTCCATATAAAGAAAGTTATACATTTTTTCCCTCGAAAGCAGGGGTTTCAGGATTATCAGAGGCTTGTATTATATATGGATGTTTTCCTGTATCGTCATTGTATCATAGTTATTATGTTCTCATGTTTTATTTTGATCCTTCTCTATGCTATTTTCATGCCATAGTCATATATTTTCATACACTTTATTTACAAGTGACTAAACCTCATCAAGCCTCACTTTCTTCATCTTTAAAGTAGATTTTTTTGAAGATTAAGTGAGATTATGCATGGAAAGATTATAGCATAGTGTCTGGCACACCATAATTATGCCTGTAATAAATGATAGCTATTGTTAATATTGTCATAACCACATGAAAATACCAATATTCTTTCCTTAAAAAAGCAATTTTTATATTTAAAAAGTACATTTTTGTTTTAGGACATTTAGAAAATATAGGAAAATACATAATCCCACTAACCAAAGATCATTAGAATCATGTAGTATATACAATTTTATATCTATAAAAACGGATACCTAACATTACTAAATGTTCTATATTTAAATATGTGTACTGAATTTTGGACGTATTGTAATCTTTTTAGATCAAAACTTAAAATAGAAGATATAAAAGAAGCCAACAAAGCATTGCAGGTGAGTAGAAAGTGTTTTTTTTTTTTTTTTATAATTTTATTTGTTTATTTTTTCCCCCAAAGCCCCAGTAGATAGTTGTACGTCATAGTTGCACATCCCTCTAGTTGCTGCATGTGGGACGTGGCCTCAGCATGGCCGGAGAAGCGGTGCGTCGGTGCGCGCCCGCGATCCGAACCCGGGCCGCCAGCAGCGGAGCGCGCGCACTTAACCGCTAAGCCACGGGGCGGCCCTAGAAAGTGTTTTCTTCAAGTAGGAAGGTATAGATAGATGTGAAAGTCTCCAATAGAAAGTAAAGCCCTATATAAATCTAAGGTATTATTATTGAATCCCAGGATGTATTGAGGCAGAAGTACTGAATGGGGATCTTGGATGATGGGGATTCAGCTCTTCCTTATACCTTTAGAATCACATTATTAATAATATTCATGTTGGAAATGACCTTGGAAATAATTTTGTCCACTTTCCTAGAAGATGTGGCATGATAGAGTGAAATTGCCTTTGAATTTGAGAATCCTTGAGTTCCTATGGCAGTCTATTATTTATTAGTTTTTGTCCTTCAGCAAGTCACATATCCTGATGGAGTCTCAGTTTCCTCTTCTGAAATGGGCTTATGATTTTGCATAGGGTTACTTTGAATATTGAGTAGGTTAACATGTGAAAGTGATTGGTACAATTTATCAGTATATGGTTCTGAATGTGTCTGGATGCAAGAATCCCTTCTACAGTGTAAGAGAAAACACAGTCTCTTTGTGAGTACTTCAGTGCCAGATGGCTTCCTACTGCACAAGCTACCCATTTCGTTTCTTATCAGAGTGGTACATGAAAACAATTTAAAAAGTCAGGGCCGGCTCCGTGGCTTAGCGGTTAAGTGCGCGCACTCTGATGCTGGCGGCCTGGGTTCGGATCCCGGGAGCGCCCCGAGGCACCACTTCTCCGTCCAACGTGAGGCCGAGTCCCACGTACAGCAACTAAAAGGATGTGAACCTATGACATACAACTGTCTGCTGGGGCTTTGGGGGGAAAAAAACTGAATAAATAAAATCTTTAAAAAAAAAAAAAAAAAACGTCAAATAGGTGCTAGAAAGACTTAAAAAAAATAATGGTAGCAGTCTCCTGTTCTTCACCCCATTGTCCCTTATCCACTCCAGCTTCTGCCACCTGAAGGGAGCTACTTTCAATTCTTTTAGTTGTTTCTTTGGGCACTTATTCTTCTATTTCTAAATAATATGCAGTACGTCTATACTCTTTGCTCTTTATTCAAGACCTGTCTCTTTTAGACCTATCTATTGCCTGGTCAACATGGTGGACGAGGAGTTGTGTTCAGTCTCACCCTGGTCGGTCTTCTTGTCACTGTCCTCCCAGCATAATTAAGTAAAAGTTTTTGTGGAATTCATTTACTGTATATTCTTTATTACGACTATTTAAATATTGTTCTTTGCTGAGCCAGGTAGTTTACAGTGATTATATTTTCTTTCTTGAACTACTTTTTATTGCCTCTGGAGTTAATAGTTCCCCCCCCCTTTTTTTTTAAGTTTAGTTGTATTTGACCATCTCAGTTTTCTTATACCTTCAAACACCTGTATAAAATGCTTCTTGATAAAAGTTTTTCACATGGTAAAATGAATCAGGTAATTGATTAGTTCTTTCATGTTTCCTTGGAGTCATCCCTCCTGGAGTTCTCTGCTCTCCTGCTCCTGTCTGGTCTCGTCACCTCTGTCCTGACATTACCCTTTGCTGCATTCTTAGAATTCCCTTTATCTTTCTCATGTGGTAGAGTCTGGAGCCCATAACTTCTTTCTTGGTTTACTTCCTTGTTTAGGGCAATGCATCCTTTAGTAGCTTCCTGGAAAATGGTGAATGAAGATGAAGATTTTAAGAATTTGCACATCAGCATATACCTTTATTCTGCTCTCACACTTTTTTAGAAGATGTGTAGGAATGTCTGCCCAACTGTCATTATTCAAACTCTGTAAAATATTTTTCATTGTTAAATATGTCATGTATACAAGAGCACACACACAGTCCATCTTAAAAACACTGGCATACTCTCTGCTTTAGCGTATAATAGAACATGTATGCTCCCTGATTGCATTCTCCTCCCTATAGTAACAATCCGCTATTTTGTATTAATAATTATGTTGTTTTTCTTTATAGTTTTATCATTTATGACTATATTTAACACAGTATTATCTAGATTTCCCTGTTTTTAAATGTATGCAAATGGATTCATATGTGACTTGATTTTCTGTTTTTTGTCCTTGCTATTGACCAGTTGATGGGTCTGGGACAGCTTGTCCTACAGAGTTTCTGACATTCTGGATTTTATCTGATTGCTTGTTCATAGTATTCTTAAACTTGTTTCTCTATCCCTTTATTGCCTGTAAACTGGAAGTTAAATCTAAAGGCTTGGTTAGATTCAGGTGCAACTTTCTGTGAGACTTTTTATTTCTACTATCATATTTTTAATATTCAGCAGGCTCTTATTTGCTCATTTTTACTTTTTAAAATAGCATCCTGTTATTTTATCTCTGAAGATATTCATTATAGTTTCTATAAGTTTTCTTTTGCTACTACCATTCTGTGTTTCTTCTGAATTCCATTCTCGGGGTGTTTCTTAGGTTGAGGTACCTCATACCCAAGTCATTCCTCAAATGTTGGATAATCCTCCAATTTCAATAAAAGGTACAAAAAATCTTTATGGAAGCCCTGTGTGTGTTGGTTGGGTGAATGGGGATGGGTTGTTATATAGAGTGGTAAGCCTTACCATATTGAAATCTATTAGCTAGCAGACTTTTGGGTACCCTCTTCAAATAATGTTAGTATCTACAGGACTTTTCCCTGGGGCAGTTGAGTTTCTCCAGAGAAGGATCCTCTAACATCATGTCTGAGAGGTATAAGTTGAGTGGCTGACATTCTGGAACTGGGCACAAGAAAATAGCCATTTGCAGAGCAATAGCTTGCTCCCTTCTAGTCTTGGCTCTGCTTGTAAACAGCTGTTTCCTTGAGGAAGCAACTTCAACTCTCTGGACCTCAAGTTTTCTTATCTGTAAGATGAGAGCTGTAGGTGCTGATCTCTGAGGTGTCTTCCAACTGACAGAGTACGCTTACCCTACAGTATAGCTTTTGTCTTTGGAAGAGGTGCGGGATAAGTTCAGTCAAATTAAAATAAGTCTGGAACGCCAGCCCTGATGTCAGAAAGGTTATTCTGAACCTAATGATGCTGCTTGGAAATCTGCTTCACAGCAGGCTCTCCATCCTTTACGGGTAAAGCTGGGCAGGAAACAAAGCTGCTTCCACTAGGTGGCTTTGGGACATTTGGCAGATCACTTTCCTTATTATGGTGTTTATCAGTTTGGACTGGATTACCTTTAAGTTCCCATCTTGCTTTAAAAAAAATTTCACAGTTCCAGTCATCTTATTCTTTGCTGGTGTTAGTCTGGTATGAGCTATCTACTTTTTTTGTGTGTACGTGAGGAAGATTAGCCCTGAGCTAACATCTGTTGCCAATCCTCTTTTTGCTGAGGAAGACTGGCCCTGGGCTAACATCCGTGCCCATCTTCCTCTACTTTATATGTGGGACATCTTCCCCAGCATGGCTTGATAAGTGGTGCATAGGTCCACTCCTGGGATCTGAACCTGGGAACCCCGGGCCGCCAAAGCAGAGCGTGTGAACTTAACCACTGTGCCACTTGGCCAGCCCCGTACTTTTATTTTTTTAAAGCCTTCACTTGTCACAATCCTGTGTTCTAAGGAGCATTAGACTGCCTCAGGTGCAGTAACTCAACACCGTTTGTCTTACCTCTGCTATGTGAGATACTAAGTACTAGTTATTATGACTGTCTGTAAAACAAAAATACCTGAAATTAACCTTATGATCTTGACCTGTGAATGCTTAGTCTTTTCTTTCATCTTTCTTTTCTCAAAGAATTCTGCTGTCAGATAGACAAGGCTTTTAAGAAAACTCAGGTTTTGGGGAACGTATCTGTGGGTTTTTTTTGCTTGGAGAATTTTTCTTTCATTAGGTGATAAAGGTCCCTATGCCTCAGAGGTGGTTTATAGATGGCACTTGCTCCATTTCCCAAGTTGGATTCAGTTATACTTGGGTCTTTGGAAGCAGCAGCAATGTGGCTTACTCCTGGCTGTTTAAAAAGGAACATGTGAGAGCCAGCCCTGATGGCCTCGCGGTTCAAGTTCAGTGCACTGCACTTGGGCAGCCCAGGTTCAGTTCCCAGGGTTGGTACCACACCACTTGTCTGTCAGTAGCCATGCTGTGGCAGCAGTTCACATAGAAGATCCGGAAGAACTTACAACTATGCACAACTATGTATTGGGGCTTTGGTGGGGCGGGAGAAGGAAGGAAAAAGGAGGAAGATTGGTGACAGATGTTAGCTTAGGGCGAATCTTTCCCTGCGAAAAATAAAAATAAAAAATTAAAAAGGAACATGTGATGAGATTAATCAGGAGCATTGGGGACTCTACCTTCACCTGGGTCTTTGTATTATAAAACTGGCACCATCTAATAAAGCTGCTTTCATAGATAAAAAATGTTCCTTCTAGCAAAGATCTTGGTTGGTTAAGAATGGGTCAAGTTTGGGGCTGGCCCAGGGTTCGCTGGTTCAGATCCTGGCCGCAGACCTACTTGCCACTCATCAAGCCATGCTGAGGTGGCGTCCTACATAGAAGAACTAGAAGGACCTACAACTAGGATATACAACTGTGTACTGGGGGCTTTGGGGAGAAAAAAAAAAGGAAGATTGGCAACAGATGTTATCTCAGGGCCAATCTTCCTCAAAATAAAAAAAAGAACAGTCAAGTTATAAATTTTAGGTATCAAGTTAACTCCTGCTTGTTTAAGACTACTTGCATATTCTACTAAAGTTTACACAGGAGCTGTTAAATTTGTGAGTTATAGAACTTGAGGGAAATTAATAGCCATGTAAAACTGAAATTTTACTTAAAATAATGAACTCAAACATCTGATTTCCAAAATCTCTTCAAATTTTAGGGACTTGCTGCATGTAAGGTATACATAATGCCAAACTCGTATGCATTTAACATTGTGAAAATTTATCCCTAAAGGTTGGATTAGATAATCTTTAAGATTCTTTCCTTAAAGAGAATTTCCATCAAAAATAGATTTTTTAAATTGATGTCATAATAGTTTATCACATTGTGAAATTTCGGTTGTATGTTATTACTTGTCAGTCACCATATATATGTGCCCCTTTACCCATGCCTACCACCCAACCCCCTTCCCCTCTGGTAACCACTAATAAGTTCTCTTTGTCCATGTATATGTTTATCTTCCACGTATAAGTGAAATCATATGATGTTTGTCTTTCTCTGTCTGGCTTATCTCACTTAACATAATACCTTCAAGTTCCATCCATGTTGTTGCAGATGGGATGATTTTGTCTTTTTTTAATGGCTGACTAGTATTCCATTGTATGTACTTATATATATATATATATATACCACATCTTCTTTATCCATTCATCAGTCGATAGGCACTTGGGTTGCTTCCACATCTCGGCTATTGTGAATAATGCTGCAGTGAACGTAGGGGTGCGTAAGTCTCTTTGAATTGTTGGTTTCAAGTTCTTGGGACAAATACCCAGTAGTGAAATAGCTGGGTCGTATGGTATTTCGATTTTTAATTTTTTGAGAAATCTCCATACTGTTTTCCATAGTGGCTCTACCAGTTTGCATTCCCACCAGCAGTGTATGAGGGTTCCCTTTTCTCCACATCCTCTCCAACATTTGTTGTTTTTTGTCTTGGTAATTATAGCTAACAGGTGTAAGGTGACATCTCATTGTAGTTTTGATTTGCATTTCCCTGATGATTAGTGATGTTGAACATCTTTTCATGTGCCTGTTGGCCATCCGTACATCTTCTTTGGAAAAATGTATGTTCATATCCTCTGCCCATTTTTTGATCACGTTGTTTGTTTTTTTGTTGTTGAGTTGTGTGAGTTCATTATATATTTTGGAAATTAACCCCTTGTTGGATATATCATTCGCAGATATTTTCTCCCAGTTGGTGGGTTGTCTTTTTGTTTTGTTCCTGGTTTCCTTTGCCTTGCAGAAGCTCTTTAGTCTGATGAAGTGCCACTTGTTTACTTTTTCGTTTCCCTTGCCTGAGTAGACATTGTATTCGAAAAGATCCTTCTAAGACCGATGTCCAAGAGTGTACTGCCTATTTTTCTTCTGGGACTTTTATGATTTCACATCTTACCTTCAATCTTTAATCCATTTTTAGTTAATTTTTGTGTATGGTGAAAGATAATGGTCTACGTTCATTCTTTTGCATGTGGCTGTCTAGTTTTCCCAACACCATTTATTGAAGAGACTTTCCTTTCTCCATTGTATGTTCTTAGCTCCTTTGTTGAAGATTAGCTGTCCGTAGATATGTGGTTTTATTTCTGGGCTTTCAATTCTGTTCCATTGATCTGTGTGTCTGTTTTTGTACCAGTACCATGCTGTTTTGATTACTATAGCTTTGTAGTATATGTTGAAGTCAGGGATTGTGATGCCTCCAGCTTTGTTCTCTTTTCTCAGGATTGCTTTAGCTATTCAGGGTCTTTTGTTGCCCCATATGAATTTTAGGATTCTTTGTTCTATTTCTGTGAAGAATGTCATTGGGATTCTGAATGGGATTGCATTAAATCTGTAGATTGCTTTAGGGAGTATGGTCATTTTAACTATGTTTATTCTTCCAATCCATGTGCATGGAATATCTTTCCATGTCTTGATGTCATCGTCCATTTCTTTCAATAATGTCTTATAGTTTTCATTGTATAGGTCTTTTCCCTCCCTGGTTAAGTTTATTCCTGGGTATTTTATTCTTTTTGTTGCAATTGTAAATGGGATTGTATTCTTGAGTTCTCTTTCTGTTAGTTCTTTATTAGAGTATAGAAATGCAACTGATTTTTGTAAGTTGATTTTGTACCCTGCAACTTTGCTGTAGTTGTTGATTATTTCTAATAGTTTTCTGATGGATTCTTTAGGGTTTTCTATACATAAAATCATATTGTTTGCAAACAGCGAGAGCTTCACTTCCTCCTTGCCAATTTGGATACTTTTTATTTCTTTTTCTTGCCTAATTGCTCTGGCCAAAACCTCCAGTACTATGTTGAATAAGATTGGCATGAGTGGGCATCCTTGTCTTGTTCCTGTTCTCAAAGGGATGGCTTTCAGTTTTTCCCTGTTGAGTATGACATTGACTGTGGGTTTGTCATATAAGGCCTTTATTATGTTGAGGTACTTTCCTTCTATACCCATTTTATTGAGAGTTTTTATCATAAATGGATGTCGGATGTTGTCAAATGCTTTCTCAGCATCTATTGAGATGATCGTGTGGTTTTTACTTCTCATTTTGTTCATGTGGATTGATTTGTGGATGATGAACCATCCCAGTGTCCCTGATATAAATCCCACTTGATCATGGTGTATGATCCTTTTGATGTATTCAGTTTGCCAATATTTTGTTGAGGATTTTTGCATCAGTAATAAATTTTTTTATTTTTAGAAACATTTTATCATAGAAAGTTCAAACATACACAATTGTACAGAGAAGAGTGAAGTGAACCACTACTCAGTTTCAGTATTTATCAATATATGGCCAATCTTGTTTTATTTATATTCAACCCATATCTCTTCTCCATCACCCCAATTATTTTGAAGCAAATTCCACACTACTTCCTTTACAAGTATTTTAGTACATCTCTCTCAAAGAAAAGAACTTATTTTCAATTCTTCAACTATGTGTATATTCCTATAAAATGTTCTTGGTCAAAAATGTTTTCACATGTAATTATTAGCATCAGCAATTTGAGTATTAATATTCACACTTTTCCTCCTACTAGGGACTGGTTTGGTTGAAAGACAAAGATGCAACACATTGTAAACTTTGTGAAAAGGAATTCTCACTGTCTAAGAGAAAGGTAAATAAGGTAGGAAGTGAGTCCAAAAGTTTTGGTGCATCTGTGGCTTCTAATTTTATTCATAAAGTTTTTTCTCTGATTTTTCTGTTTAATAGCACCACTGTAGAAACTGTGGGGAAATTTTCTGTAATGCTTGCTCTGACAATGAACTGCCTTTGCCTTCTTCACCGAAGCCAGTACGGGTTTGTGATTCCTGTCATGCATTGCTGATTCAGAGATGCTCATCTAACTTGCCATAAGACTCCAGAATTAAATTGTTATGTATGACAGTACATACCTACAATGAATGTTATGTATGAACGTGTGTATGCAATGTATTCAGACAGCCCTTCTTAAGCAGCTTTCAGACAGTATTGGTACCAGTTTTATATTCCACATATTCAACCCATGGGAATTAGAAGTTGCATAATTTGATATTTCCTTCCCCATTGTTACTCAAAAAGAATTTTCAACGGGGCATGCTTTAAAATAACTTTAGCCTAGTTAGTAATTGATGTAATAATCATCTTAATGCCACTGAAAGGCCAGAGAGCATAGCTAACACACATTTGCCTTATTTTGTAAAGGCCTTTTGAAAAATAGGGCTTCAGATTGTTTTATTCTCCAGGTTGTCATGTTGATATTTGATGGTGCCTGTAATTTTCTTAACGCACTTTAAAGCTTCTTAGTTTTCAGAGAAAGGTTGGAAATGCATAGAACTATTTACAAGTTTTAATATTCCAATTCAACAGATTTTTCATTAGCTTGGTAAGATGTCAACCTATTTATTTTCCCTTTCTCACCCCCTTCTTTTGCCCATTTTGTATTAGAAAAGACCAATATTTTATCCTATAAAATTTCCTTTTGGTCTTCCTCCTCTCTCTAAAATCATTGTTGTACTTGCTGATGTAGTCTTGCATCACTTAACGACATGAATACGTTCTGAGAAATGTCATTAGGCAATTTCATTGTCATGCAAACATCAGTTATACTTAGGCCAACCTAGATGGTATAGCCTGCTACACACATAGGCTGTATGGTACTAATCTTATGGGACCGCCATAAGATACACAGTCTGTCATTGACAGGAAGGGAGTCCAAAAGTTTTGGTGCATCTGTGGCTTCTAATTTTATTCATGTGCTGTTATGCGGTACATGACAATACCTTTCAGATACAGTGGGTTAAAGAGGTATTCTTTTGCCTCAACTTTTTCCTTCTTATTTTGAAAGGAAGTTAAACCATCATCCTTTTTACCCTAAGTTACTTGCGGATCTTTCCAAATACCATCTGACTTGATAAATTGCTAACTTTCTTTAGGGAGAGCTCATACCCCTTTTGAAAATTGAAAACAATTTGGAAACCTAAGTCCTTCCCCAGAAAATATGTGTATAACAACAGGGGATTACAAGGGCCTGCTCTGTGGCATAGCAGTTAAGTGCGTGTCCTCCGCTGCTGGTGGCCCTAGTTTGGATCCCAGGCATGCACCAATGCACCGCTTGTCGGGCCGTGCTGTGGCAGCGTCCCATATAAAGTAGAGGAAGATGGGCATGGATCTTAGCCCAGGGCCCGTCTTCCTCAGCAAAAACAGGATTGGCATGGATGTTAGCTCAGGGCTGATCTTCCTCACCAAAAAAAAACCAAACAAAAAAACCCCCAGGGGATTACAGGCTGATTGATGCTCCTCTAAGCATTAAAAGAGAAATCTAAAATTGCAGTTAAGGGCTGGCCCCATGGCATAGCAGTTAAGTGTGCGCGCTCTGCTGCTGGCGGCCCAGGTTCGGATCCCAGGTTCGCACTGATGCACTGCTTGTCAGGCCATGCTGTGGTGGCGTCCCACATAAAGTGGAGGAAGATTGGCACAGATGTTAGCTCAGGGCTGATATTCCTCACAAAAAAAAAAAAAAGGCAGTTAAACTTTGCCTATATGACAGACTTCAGTAATTTAGGAAATTTTGTATTACATTTCCATTCCAGTAACTTTTAGGAAGTGTTACATTGTAGTGGTCTACCACTGCAGTATATATACAGAGTAAAAAATTCACCAAATACTGAGCACCTCTAAGCCAGGGTCTTGAAGAGGTGAAGATGTGGTCTCAACCCTGCCATGAAAAACACTGAACTATTTCAAGCATGACTCACTAGTTAACACTAATCCTGTTATATTGCTTATAGCATACCAAGAATTTAATCTGTAAAAACTAAGTTACTTTTGTATAATTCATCATTTGAATAGCATCACTACTTGGGATCCTACATTGTTTTTGTATTTGTCAAATTTCAGCCATGCACTTTAAGTTTGTGAACCTTTGAAACACATCATACAGGAATCTCACATTTCTCCTAAGAGCATTATATTTAGTGAATTAATCATGGCCATGCCCTCCCCCTCCTAAAATGAGGTTTCTTCTGCAGGATCCTTTCCTTCATTAGGGTTTAAAATGATTTAATTTTCAATTGCCATAGTACGAAACTAGTATTTATTTTCTCCATAATCCAGTCAGCTTTTGACATCTTCAATTAAAACTGACACACAGATTTTTAGGTGGTCTTTATTGAATGCTCTGATAGAAATGTTTTCAAGAGATATGAATTATATTCTTGAACTGTTTTGTATTGTTGGTATGGATTAACTTTTTTATGACTGCTGAAAAAACAAAAATTTCAAATACCAGAAGTTTTTTATTACTGTGCTTAGTTAGAACAAATTTTAAAATGTGATCTTGCTTAAATTCCAAGGCTGGTTTCATTCAACAAATAAACCATGATTTTTAATCGTTTTAAATTCTTTTCTGTTCAAAACTCATGTATTGCCATTGATTTGAGCTTTTTGGAGGGAAGATTTTATCACAGCAATACAGCTTGTTCCATTTAGTTTTGGCTCTTATTTAAAAACCATTTATACTAATTTTGGATTTTGTTACAAAACTTTGAGTTTGTACTTTGATTGTGAACCTATACTCTTACTTTTTAAGTAACATTTTCCCCCTCACAGCAAACATTTATCTTAACTTCACATACCATTCCCTCATCTAGCCAACATTACCACAATAATGCTTATCATGGTGCCAAGGAATTGTGATTGTAATTCTTCTACCCTGCAGTGTTTTAAAATGTGAATTTTGTAAATCAAAGATCTGAAAAATTAGCCTGCTTTAGAAGGGCAGCTTTCATTTATAACATTTTACACGTTTACTGCTTAAAGAACAGGGTTATCTTGGGAAAATAAAAGCACACGTGATCTTTAAAAACAGTAAGTCTTATGAGCCCAATATGTAAGGGAGTGGGTACAGGCATTAAGATCGATCATTGCTTGAGTTCAAAGGCTCCATTTAGGCTATCACACCTATCTTCTCTAACAGCAGTCACACCTTTGGAGTCACTTTGTCTCATCTTCAATTAGACATCATATTTAGTACCTTCTACCAATGTGATTATTATAATCAGTAACCGACACAAAGCATTCTAGGACAGACGCTGTACTATTATCTCCCACATTGATATTTATTACATTAATAACATTTCTAGCAAAAACAAGTAACAGGTTCAATAACTGAATTCACATTGACAGGTTTCATTTTGATCAATTAGCCAATTTGGAAAAAAGCCATATTGATCAAAGGGATTAAAAGTAAAAAGCACCTTTTCCTTGCTACATATAGTATTTTTTTTTAACACAATGGCTTTAAAACTCAAGACAGATATCAGATGCAAAATCCAACTGCAGGACTCTTATTTTAATTAAGACCACAATATGGACTTCTTACATTGTTTTTAAAGTAGTCATTTATACAGTTATTAAAAAACCATATGCTTTAACTATTGGGCAAGAAACAAAATACATCTGTGAGAATTGTACTCCACAGTAAATACCTTTGTACTTGTACTGAATTCTCATGTCATTGAGAACCTTAACCTAGTCTAAGACATTTTGAGATAACTTACAACTATCACTTTTTGGAAACATTTTTTGGTACTTCAAGTGCTGAGGGGATTTTATTCTAAAATCTAGGGCTAGAATTTAAATTTCCAACACTCCCATGCCCAGGTAACACAATTATGAATATTCAGAAATTCAGGCACCTCTTGGGATCATTTCAGAGCTATGCCTGATAAATGACATTTGAAAAGAATGACTAATATAGAATCAGCTGAATTTATACTCCTGAAGCCACCTAAACTCATCTTTAGGTTTTATATTTACAGTATTGTCCAGCAGAAATTAAAGAAAAAAGTTACACTAATTGTTTTCCAAGCTCTATTCCAGATGTCTGCTTATTAAGACTTGTAGTTTATGCAGAGGTGAACCATTGTCCACTAAAATTACACTATACTACTTGTAGAGCTAATAGTAATATACATCAACCCAAATCTTATGAAAGCAGCACATCCTCAGGATTAACTAGTATATAAAAAGTATCAACATCAGTGGTTTGAATATAAAAATTTATTTTTAAGTCAAAGTATGCAACAAATAAAACCTACAGAAAACAGATTTTCCCATCACAATCTGTTGCTTTACCAAATAATATTTTGAAAACACATTCCTTCAGTCATTATAAAGTTCTTAAAATACAAAAGAAATTAAATCTGTAAGAAAGTCTAGTAGACCAGATGCTGTTGTCAGGACTTTTATGTTGGTGGTTATCCTTTAATTTAGTACATCCCACGCCATCCACCTCCACTCATGCCACCTTGCCCATAGTAACCTCCACTGCCTCCACCACCGCGGCCTTAAAAAAAAAAAAAAAAGACATTAAGAACTGTTTAGTAGGAGCTATCAGTGCATAAGATATTAAAAATTATAAACTTTTAATTGTCTGCACCACATATGGGGACTAACACAAACCAAACCAGAATAAGTTCAAGACACTTACCATAACCACCCAAGCCATCAGGAGTACCATAGCCTCCACTGTAATTGTTCCCCATTCCCATTCTTCCAACAGAGCCATAACCTCCTTGATTATCTTTAAAAAAAAAAAAACAAAAAAGTTTGAGATTGTTTGCTAAAGTGTCTAACTCTGCTTATTTGAAAAACTTTACATACCCATTCCATCTCTGCCGTAGCCTCCCATTCCAGAACCTCCCATTCCAGAGCTGCCTCCAGGAGTAGAATTCAAGAAGAGCTCAATGTATCGATGTTCTTTAGGGAAAAAGTAAGAGTAATAGAGAAAAGAACAATGGATCAAACTCATCAATAAAAACATTAAAAAGGTTAACGAGCTAACTAGCTAATATTAACCTGAAAGTAGGCTTACCAATTCCTAGTGGAATGGTAAAATGAATGCCAGATAAGAGCTAAAATCTAGGTTTTGTTCAAATTGCACAACTCTGAACAAGTATTTCAGCCCTTAGTTTCCTTATCTATAATAGGGCTGATAATTTCAGAACCAGCTGGTGTTATTTCTTAAAAATATATTCCAGGCCCAATCAGAACTGAATTAGAATCTTTAAGGGTAGTGTCCAGGAAAACTTATTAAGTACTGAGAGACTGATGTATAGCCAGATTTGGGAATAACTGGTTGAGGTGAAATTTAATGGCTTAAAAACTTATAATGGAATTGATAAATGTATAGGTTAAGAAGTGGTATTAATTTGCAAATGGCATGGGAACTCAAGCAAGTGCGAATAACATACCTATTTTCCCTCCTTAATAACTTAAGCTCCCAAATCTGTCAAGTATTAAGAGGCTGAATTAACTCTTTAATAAAAAGCCCCCTAGAAAACCATTAAGTCTAAATGATTAGAGGCCATATGGTTTCATGTCCCTATTACTGCAAGTTACCCACAGATCCTAGAACCTCTTCTTACATTTGAGGAATTACAAATGAGAAAGTTATTTTATAAGCAAGTTAATACCTAGGAAACAACACAACATGCCAATGATACCACTTACGCATGTTATTCTTATCTTTAGACATGGCAGCTACTGCATCTTCATGTGTCACAAACTCTACATCTGCTTCTCCTGTTGCTCTGCCATCAGCTCCAATATCAATATGCACTCGTATTGGATTTAGTGGTGAGAAGAACTAAATAAAAGACAACACTTGTTATTTACTTTTCTATTTAGATTATCAAAAGTAAATTATCACATGCCTTGGTTTTTCCTCATCCATTAAAACAAACCCTTTTGCTGCCCTGTTTTGCAAGGCTAACAACTGCATCAACTACAGAGATTCTGGGAATATAAGACTATACGCTCAGGGAAAAATGCAAAGCAATTACTCTTTAAATAAGCTAGGTGATATTAAAAAATACTTCTAACCTAGAGAATAATTTAAACAAATGAAATCATAAGTCTCATACCCTACTACTGAGAGGGGGAAGAATAAGTCCCCTGCC